GGAGTCTATGGGACTCCCTTTTGCAGCCAGCCTCTAGCGGCCAGTTGACGAATTACAGTTTAAGTCACTTCTGTGTTGGCTTCACAAGAGAGAGCGGGAGGTTGCCGCTTAGTAATCACCCAAAACACCTCGGCAACCACTTAGCAACACACTGGCAACCAGCAGAACACTAGCAACCACATACCTTAGCAACCACATAGCAACACCCTAGCAACTACATAGCAATGTCCTGACAATCACCCAAAACACCTTGACAACCACTTAGCAACACACTGGCAACCAGCAGAACACTAGCAACCACATACCTTAGCAACCACATAGAAACACCCTAGCAACTTCTTAGCAATGTCCTGACAATCACCCATAACACCTTGGCAACCACTTAGCAACACCCTGGCAACCAGCAGAACACTAGCAACCACATTTGACAGACTAAAACCATTCAAAATATATTAGCAACCACATAGCAACATACTAGCAACTGCATATCAGTGTCCTGACAATCACCCATAACTCCTCGGCCACCACTTAGCAACACCCTGGCAACCAGCAGAACACCAGCAACCACATTTGACAGATTTGACAGACTCAAAATATATTAGCAACCACATAGCAACATACTAGCAACTGCATAGCAATGTGCTGGCAGTGCTGGCAATCACCTTGGCAACCACTTAGCAACACCCTGGCAACCAGCACAACACTAGCAACCACATTTGACAGACTAAAACCACTCAGAATATATTAGCAACCACATAGCAACTGCATAGCAATGTCCTGGCACTCACTGTACACACAACACCCTGACAACCACATACCAACTAGGCGTGCCGCGATAGACGGTGCTGACGGTGATACCGGTGTTAAGCCGCAACACCGGTTACGTCACTTGCCCACCGCGGCACCGACCCCCACCGTCGTTTAGATTTTTTATAGAAATAAAAATCATTTAGTTCAGTAAAAGAACAGACACTACAATTAAAAACTGAAAGCGGCTGCTCAATGCAGCTAGCGTGCCGAACGACAGTCGCATCACAGATCAGATTTCATTTCTCCAGTGAGGAGAGTGAGTCGAGCTGACTGACAAGAAGAGTGAGGTGAGACAGACAAGAAGAGTGAGGTGAGAGACAAGACGATCTCGGATGATTTAGTTTCGAAACGAAATGCAAAAGCGCCTGTTTGGCAATATTTTGGATTTTGAAAAGCCTGTTGACTTTTGCCGTTTATCTAAGGTGATTTTGAAAGTTTTTTTAAACATTTGTTTCTTATTTAATTGGTTCCACATTGTTTGCTGATTTTTACTTTATTTAAACTTTGTGTAATTTTATTATTTTTTTACATAAAGGTGTATGCCGTGCCTCCAAGCTTTCTTACTCGTTTTGCTAATAAACGTCCTACGTTTCTTATTTATTTGGTTATATATTATACATGTTTACTTACATAAAGCTTAATAGGTATACAAAACTGGAAATAAGTAAACGTATAATATATAACCAAATAAATAAGAAACGTAGAA